CTGTTATCAGAAAATGTATGACAGGTACTCAATATTGGAAAGCAACTGTATTACAGAAGAAAAATGTGATATTCTTGGTGATGAAGACCACACAAATCCCTGCTACTTCAGTTTCACTACGAACCTGTGATTGTGTGGTGTCTTAGGGTTTTCCGACCATTGGAAGATGTTTAAGGGACACTAAAATAAATCAACAAATAATGGCAATTTAGCCCTAAAGTGAGGAAGCCATCCCACGATTAAGGCTATGTACAAAATCTCTCTTAACTCGATCCTTTTAAAATAGTGCCGAGAAAATATTGGTGATTGATGATAAATACCGAGTAATGAGTTTGTGAATGTGGATAATTCAACTCAACTTGAAGAAAAAAATAATAATAATAACAAAATCAACACATCACAAAAACATTTGTGCTTTCCTACTAATTTATATTCAATTTTTTGTTCAATTACTTCGGATAATCTTCAATAATTCACAGGTTGCTAAACTATAATTACTTCCTACTAAAAAACTTTAACTGGCATGGAGAATGTATTCAAATATTTGTAAAAGTAATATGATTTATATAAATATTTATTCAATATTTTATTTTAATTTTCCAACCAACTATAATCTTACATTATGAAATCATTTGACATATCGCAGCAAGGTGTAATATACATCTCAAAAGAACATGATAATCAACACTTTGGAGTAGATTTAATAGAAAAACTCTTAACTCTATTATTGGTTAAATATTTTTTTGAAATAACATTTTTAATTCAAATTGCTATTTACTAAAAATAATGTTGAGTTTATTCGGAAGAAATGATTGACTATTTTATATATCAACAATTAGCTACGGAAATGCTAAGGAGCCATCCGATGGCTCCGTTACGGAGCTATGACCTTGTTTGGCGATCAGCGGATAGCGAATAGCGGATAGCGAATAGCGAATTGTATATAGCGGATTATATTAACTAATTTGACCAACGGATTGCATTAGCGGTTTTTAAATAAGTGTTTGGTAAATAGCTGAAAGCTTATAGCTGTTTGACATTGCAAAATGACCAATAAGGACATTTTATTATTAGGGTGTATTCTTTTAATAATAATATATCAAAACATTTAATATTCTTTAGTTGGTAATTTATAAATATATATATATATATATATATATATATATATATTAAATTTACTAACAATTGATGAAGAAGTTATGAATTTTACATTTTTCTCGATAAATTAATCATATGGATGATATATTACTATTTATTTAAATTATAAACCAATGTAGATTGTAAAATAAATAAGACAAATTAAAAAGTTTCAAGTAAATGATTTCACGAGTTAAAAATAAATAAGACAAATTAAAAATATGGAAACCTTACGTTGGTGAGTTTTTTTTTGTGAATCCTCTATCCCCAAAACGCTGCTCTAATGAGCTTTTTCTAAATTAGAGTTTTCGGCCCAAAAAACTTATCAAATAAACTATTTACCAAACAAGCTCAGTAACGGATTTAACGGGTTAAACCTTTCGATTAAGTCCAATCCCTTAATTTATCTTCAATCCGTTATCTTCCAGACGGGCCTATATCCATTTTTAAATGTTTATCATATACGTTTGCATAACCAGCTAGTCAAATTAATAATATTTCTGCATAAATGTTTATCAAATATTTCTGCATAAATAGTTGACTACTTCAATGAATATTGGATACTTGTTATTTTAAATATATTAATCAAATACGTTTTCATTATCAGTCAAATTCAATAATTTGAAGTTCAATCATCATTTAGTCCACTGTCAGTTTTGCCTGATTGGCTATTAGGTATTAACTATTAGCAAATCGGTAATACTTGATTTGATTAGCGGATTATATTAACTATATGTAAATAACAGTTTGGTTAAATAGCAAATTGTATAGTTTTTTTGTGAAATTTATGTCGGGATGTCATTCTTTTGGCATTTTGGGCTTAGACTGATCAAATAATTTTTTTGCTAACGAAGTTGATAGGTCAAACTTCGAAGGATATTCAATCGGCTAATTTTACACTAATCGGGTTAATTTTAATTTTTATTAGGGTTAATTGCGAATAAAATCTTATCCTTTTGTCTAATTACAAATAAAATTCAACTTTTTCAATTTGGCAAAAAAGTATCAAACCTTTAATAAGTGTTGCAATTGTGTCTCAATCACCTTCCACCGCCGCCAACCGCCACCCACCGCCAGCCAACTTCGTCGAATGTTGAAAATTTTTACATGATCTTGTAGCTCTCCTTCGTGCCGACAACATATCCGAGTTTCACGAAAAAATTCTGACAATAAGGCTTCCAAAATTCCGGTCAAAGCTCGTAGATCTACAAATTTTCTCTGGCATTCTTTCGCAAATTCTCGGTGACTCGCTTTGACCCACGTGAATCCAAAGGTACCGTTGAACTCCTCTCGCAAAGCCGCATCTAGTGACGTCCACCTTCGCCGGAACCGGTGACTTTTTTCGGTGACGACTTTTCCGGTCATCTCCTTATCGTCGGAATTTTTTCGTGAAACTCAGATATGTTATCGGCACAGAAGAGAGCTACAAGATCATGTAAAAATTTTCAACATTCGGCGAAGTTGACCGGCGGCGAGTGGCTGTTGCGGCAGCGGCGAAAGGTGATTGAGACACAATTGCAACATTTATTAAAGGTTTGGTATTTTTTTGGCAAATTGAAAAAGTTGAGTTTTATTTGCATTTAGACAAAAGGTTAAAATTTTATTTGTAATTAACCCTTCTTTTTAATAGAAAAAATCAAGTAAATGAAAATTATGGAATGATACATCAAAATGTCCAAAATTACCATCAACCCTGATATTTAATTATTTATTGACCTTTTTTTTTTAAACAACATTTTTCTTTGCAGAAATTTCTTTCCCAACTGTGTGGCTTTTTTGCTCTTTTCATTCCGTGCACTAGGGTTGCAGCAGATAAACGCCACCCCCAACCTCACCGCTAAAACCTCCTCTTATTCCTCTCTCTCTCTCTCTCTCTCTCTCTCTCTCTAATTTCATCTCTCTACATTCATCAAACCATTTTTTCTCTGTCAATCTTCTCGAGACATCTGAAATCAATCGCCAGCTGCTTTTTCCCTTCAGTCCAGTAGCTGCAATGGGCGTCCCTCTTCCTCCCAAAGAGGCCAACCTCTTCAAGCTCATCGTTGTAAGTGTTTTTTTTTCCTTTTGATGTTTGTTTTTCAGCTCTAAGTTTGCTTGAGATCTTATTGCTGTGGTTGAATTTGCAATACGGAGGAGTGAGTGTGAAACCCTAGTATATGTCAGCTGAATGTTCTTCGATGATGAATCCATTAGTGCAGTGTTGGCATTTGCATAGTTATTCTGATTCTTAGATTCTGTTTTCATTTGGTTATCTACTTCTGTGGCAACTCCGCGAAGCTACTTTGTGATACAGTTGCTCCTGCGTGTCAACATTTTCGGAATAGATAGAGATAATTTATAAATTGCGGGTTTCTGGTGTTTGTTTGTGTAATATTTTATTCAGTACTATGAATAGATAGAGATATTTTGTACATTGCGGGTTTCTGGTGTTTGTTTGTGTAATATTTTATTCAGTACTATGTATAGGCAAAGATTGGAAAAAGGTGCAGGTGTTTCATTTTAACTTTTGTCTTCTTGAATGTCTGGAGCTTCCGATAATGCAATTAAGATGACAGTGTGTGCTAACTTTCTGAAATATGAAGTGGTTGTTACATGCATGAAGTGATGCTTTCTGGTAGAAGTACTTTTAATTTGTATCACAAGTGTTAGTGTCTCATCTTTTAGAATGTGCATGACTCATTTGAAGGTGATAGTTCTTGTTTTTCTAATGCCTTAAGCTGTTTGATCGTCATGATTGTTGTGCCAATTTGGTATCCGTATATTTTTCCTACACAGAAATCTTATGAAACGAAGCAGTATAAAAAGGGTTTAAAGGCTGCTGATGCAATTTTAAAGAAGTTCCCAGATCATGGAGGTATGTTGAGATTTTTTCTTGTAGCATGGTTATGGTGTATGTTTGTTTGGTGCATTTTTCTTATTTTTTCAACAGTGTTCCATTGTTGAACAGAAGATTGTAGATACTATTTAGATTTTGTTTTTCATATATTTCATGTCTTGGCGTTGTTGGAACTTTTAGTATTGTCCTGATAACCTGTAAACTACCCATCTGTCCTAAATTATGGTGCTGTTCTCTTTGTCAGGGTTAGAACACTGAGATTTGTACCTTTTAGTTACTGTTCTTTCATGGACATGAACAGTCAGAATTTCTTCTTTTGGACTTAATTTTTTTTTTTTCTACTGTTATTAGTTCCCATTGCTATACTGCTTCTGATCTTGGATTTGGTTCGTTTGGTTGTCAGAAACATTGTCAATGAAAGGGCTGACTTTGAATTGCATGGACCGCAAATCCGAAGCGTATGAACTTGTTAGGCTTGGGTTAAAGGTTAACATTTATTTGTCTGTTGGCGAACTTTAGTCTTATCTTACTCATTTGTTCATTCACACTTGAGCATGGTTCTCATATATGCAGAATGACCTTAAGAGTCATGTTTGCTGGCATGTCTATGGACTTCTGTATCGGTCGGACAGAGAATACAGGGAAGCAATCAAGTGTTATCGGAATGCTCTAAAAATAGATCCTGATAATATTGAAATTCTTCGAGACCTCTCTCTTTTACAGGTAAATTTTTATATACTTGATTATAACTGAAGAGAAACCCATTCTATATTTATTATTAACAAAGATAAAAAAAGATCAAGGAGGATGAAAAATGATAAAATGCCATGTATTGGCGTCTTCTGGTTTCCTCCTTTCTCTTGCAATTATGGACACGTGCACACATTTGTATGCAGGATGTGGGAGCTTCTCTGTCTTAGTTTATACATTGAATGACTCTTGGACTTCTTTCCCTGGCGTCATTCTATTCTGATAGGGTTCAGGAAACTGGATTTGTGATAATATTTTTTTTTTCTTGTAAGTTGTAGGGTGCATACATTAAGTTTAACCAAAAATAGTATCCTAAGGAAGTTCTTGACAATATAATTAAATTTGACTTGGCTAGATGTCTGAGTTATTTAGTTGTAATTTACTGCTGTTGTTTATGTCGAAAAATAAAAATAAAATTCTGAGCCCTTCACTTTCTTTTTTAAAGCTGGATATTTCTCAGCTATGGATCTACTGTTGTTGAAAGCCATACCATTTTACATATAACTGGGTGATAATAAGAAATTTTGATCTCTGTTTGAATTTGAGTGTTATACTTTCAAGTTGTTATTGTAAACTTTTTCTCTATTCTAATGGCTGTGTGCATAAAAATTCGCAATCAGAATAATACTGAAGCAAGCGATTAGTTGTTAAATTAAAGTATAGGCTGGCTAAGACATGTATGTGCTAAATTTAGAAAAAAAAAAGAGCTGGTAACGAAAAACAAGGTATTTATGATTTTGGCTTTCATTTTAATTGACAAATATTAGAATGGTATCTATACTACCTTCCGGAACTCAAAAAAGCAAATTCATTGTCATGTTTGCCTCTTATTATACTTTTAAAATGGTTAAATCTAGCTGATAATGTGGCATGCTTTCTCAATAATTTAACAGGCACAAATGCGGGACTTGGAAGGTTTTGTTGAGACGAGACAACAATTGCTCACTTTGAAACCAAATCATCGTATGAATTGGATTGGCTTCGCTGTTGCCCAACATCTAAACTTCAAGTATGCCATACATTACGTACCTGTGTGTGTAACTCACTGTAAAATTTTGTTGATTTTCTATAACTAGGTACAGTTATTTATGCCTTTACTTCAGTTCTATGCCTCCTGCTTTCTACCTTTTTTCCCTATTAGTTTTGTAGTATCAGCAGAATTATGATGTACATGCTGTATGGTTGATATGCCATTTTGACTATCTGTCGTATTTCAAGACAATTCTTTTGGTAATTAAGAGCCAGATTTCATAGGCCAACTTCTATGTGTTGCATTTGGTTTGTTTGTTTCATAATTTGTATGTGTGCTATATACCAGTGGATCAAAGGCAGTTGATATCCTTGAAGCATATGAAGGGACTCTTGAGGATGATTACCCTCCTGATAATGAACTCTGTGAGCACGGGGAGATGCTTTTGTACAAGGTATTGACATTGGTAGCTTAAATAAATCATGCAAACTCCTTTGCTTCCCATCTGTCATAAAATACAACTTGCTGTTGTATATCACTCAATAGTGTTTGGGTACAACTAAGCATTGATACAGTTACGTCGTTATTGTTGCTGCTGATTTGCTGCCACTTATACTTGGTTAGTGGAAGTAGATGAGGTTTTTTCTTTTTCCCAACTCATATAGTTCAGAGTTTCCTCTTGTGCTTACTATCTAGCTGCAGTTACCTTAGAGGGGCTTAAATGCACTTGAATTATTCTTTCACTGATAAGTCATAAGTTGATATACAATGTCATTGTCTACTTTAGAAGTGGTTAAACATGTGATAATTCTGGGCAACTCCTGGACCCTAGTTACATCTTTACGCTTAAGCCAAAAAAACTGTAAAACCCATCAGATTCTTCTTAATATTTGGAATTCGTTAGGACTGGATATGTTTTTGGATTTACCTTGGATTGTTTAGATTGTAAAGTTGCCAATCTCTTTCCATCTTAAAAGCAGGAACCATTTTACTATCATTATCCAAATTTTATTTTTACCTTGTCTAATTTGTTTCTGATATAATATTTGATTTCAGATCTCTTTGTTGGAGGAATGTGGATTGGCTGAGCGCGCTCTTGAGGAGTTGCGCAAGAAAGAATCTAAAATAGTGAGTGATAATTTGACATCACACCTAAATGTGTTTCTCATTGGATTTGTTGACCCTTTTGTTCCTTTCTTTTAGGTTGATAAATTAGCTTATAAGGAACAGGAGGTTTCTCTGCTTGAAAAGCTGAGCTGTTTTGATGAAGGAGAATTATTATACAAGAAACTGCTTTCAATGAATCCTGATAATTACAGGTATGTAATATAGTCACAATATTAAATTAAGAGCTTTCTTCCCATTCTTACATTACTTGAAATTTTCATGATGTTGTCATTTGATCAGTCTTGTGTTTTCCCTAGATATTGCATTTTCAAATATATGAGTAATGTCTCAACATATGCATTCATTTTCTAAATCTTATGTTTGTCGTAGACTATGCTGATAGGATCCTTTGTCATCCACAATTGTCTTCGCANGTGGGTGGGGGTAAGGAAAAGAAATATGAACCTTTTTGGTCTTGTTTGATAGCATCTAGGTATCTTACTCATTCTTTGTTATTTTAGTTGACCGTTTAGGTTAACATTAATTTGCTGCCTGTGGTGGGCCTATCACGCAAAGTGAGGTTTTAGGGTTGAGATACCCTACTTTGCTTGGGTTATTTTGTTGTTCAAGTGGGTATAATTTTTCGCCCTTGGACAACTTAGAAACTGGTACTTTTTTTGTTAGTTATAAGCTGGGCAGAATTTATCCTAAAGAAATTATATTATATTAACTTCTTCGCAATTACAATTTCTTTTTATTTTCTCATTGAACCCTTGCCTCTATCAATTTTATTCTCCCTACACAAGGTAATAGTCTCGTTGTGGGACGTTGTTTGAATTATTTTGCTTGATGTTATGGTTTTTCCCTTGGAGACTTGATGTGTTATAAGTGATTAGTTCTCGACCCAATAATTATTGCTATATCTGAATGCATTTTGTTTTGACGGGACTCGAAACTACTTTGGTACGGCTATTTCCAAATTCCAAGCAACAGCAAGACTTCATAGAAATTATAATAACAAACTCTAATGTACCCTTAAGTTCGGTGCTCAAGAAGTCAACTGTCTGAGTTATTATGGAAGGAGCAGAAGCCAAGATGCTCTAATTCCATTCTGCTGCTAGATTTCGGTTACCAACCATTTAGATGTGGGATCAGTTTAAACTAGGTTATACCACCTATAGATCCAATTTAGTAAAGGTTCATAATGTGTTCTTAGATGAATTTTCATTTGATGGACTTGTATATTTGAAGTTAGATTTTAGAGAGATTTGTACCCTTTCACGTATTAAGTTCTTGCTCTCTTCGGATGACCCACTTCTTATCCATGTTCGTGTTTAGAAGTACCTCAAAACAGCTACCAGACACTTTTGGGGCTGTGGAGAATCAGGGTGTGAAATATATATCTCTCTCTCTGTGTGTGTGTGTGTGCTTTAAAGTTTAAACCTTCTAATATGATTTCATACCATCTCTCATACAGAAAATAACTTAAAACTTCTAAGTACTCGTAGAATGCTCGTTCATTATTTTTATTTCTTAACTAGACAGTTTCTTCCAGAGTCTGTTTTGGTGATATCTTCTTCGCTTTCTGGGGAAATCCAGCTGCTGAAAGACTAAATTGTAGAAGGTTGTGAGCCACAAAATGAATTTTATGGTGCTTTATATTTTTTTTTCTATGATTTTAGGTATTATGAAGGTCTGCAAAGGTGTATGGGGCTGTATAAGGAAAATGGTCAGTATTCTTTGGATGAAATTGATCGACTGGAAGCTTTGTATGCATCACTTAGCGAGCAATACAGTAGGTCATCTGCCGTCAAGGTGACACATCTTTCCTTCCTTTTCATGGTTGTCCAAAGTGCATGTACATATTTATATTAAACAGCATTTTTTTTATCCTTTTTCGTTTGGGAAGCACATATCTAAAAAATAATTGGTTTTTATATTTCTAAGATGAAGCTTTTTGATGCTTAGCTTTATTACATAATGTTTTAACGTGTAGAATGTTGAAAAGTTAGTGAAATCATGGCATGCATTGCATTAACTAAATTTATAGAAATGTCTTGTGTTTTTGCATGACCAATATATGCATGAATTTCCTACGTGTACCTTTTTTAATGACGATTTTCTGTGAATTCTTATTGGACAGAGAATCCCTCTTGATTTTCTTAGTGCTGAAAGATTCCGTTCGGCGGCTGAAAATTATATTCGACCATTTCTGACCAAGGTATGCATGCTCAAGCTGTGTAATTTGATCGCTAGTTGACCAAGTATTTGAGCACGACTTATGATTTATTTTGGAATCATATCTAGGGTGTTCCTTCTCTATTTTCCGATCTTTCTCCTCTCTATGAGCACTCTGGAAAGGTTAGTCAGCCCTGTACTACACTCTACAGAGATACTTCTACTTCAGATTTGAGAATTTAAAAATAGTGCGGCTAGTTTGTAAAGTGTCTTGGTACTAATCTTATTCAGGCAGATATTCTGGAAAACTTAATTCTTGAGCTTGAGCACTCCCTTAAGGCTACTGGTGTATATCCTGGGAGGTAATTTAACTCTCAACTCTTGCATAAGATTGTAACATATGTGCTTTAACAATTGTTGTTGTCCTTGCCCCCCTTTATGTAAGATTATATTTTGGTTATGTTCAGGGTGGACAAGGAGCCCCCTTCAACACTTATGTGGACTTTGTTTTATTTGGCTCAGGTTTGTACATAAGTGGCTTCTGCTTGGCAGTTATATTGTTCCACATGTTAATATATTACTTTCTTCTTAATTCTTATGAAAATCTCCTTTTTTACAGCATTATGACAGAAGGGGTCAGTATGATGTTGCGCTCAGAAAAATAGATGAGGCCATAGAACACACCCCCACTGTCATTGATTTGTACTCAGTGAAGGTAATTAAAAACTTGTTTATGATTTTTCACTGGTTTGAGTATATTAATGAGAAGAGAAAAAAATTGTTCGAATTATGTCCTTGAACTCCTTGTTCCCTTCTTAAAATCCTTTTTGATGTAACTTCCCCAAAGCGGATTTGTGTACTAGCTGCCGCGTGTACATTTTTCGTCCAACATGATAACATTATCTTGTAAAATCTTGTTACATCGAATTCAACTTGCTTTGACTACTTTATAGATAATTATTTCATGATATCAAGTGTTCGTACTGTGATATGTAAAGTGGTGATATCAAGAATAGTGTTGAAATTAATATATCGATGAGTAATTTTCATGACAGTTCTGATTTTGATTCTGAATGGTGGTGTATTGGCAAGAAAATCCCCACAGGAACTTCATAAAAGGACAGACATCAAGTAAATTTACCTGATGTTCTCCTGGTGGATTCATTGCTATGGGAAATAGAGTGAGCCTGATGTCCAACAAACTGAGATTTGACTTTGCACAACTGAACTAATATGTTTGTGAATGGTCAAAACATAAGACATAAATCTGTATTTATTTAATGGCAATGAACTAAGGCATCACAACACATGTTGATAAGATAGCCGTCAATATCCTTTATGGACCCTACTTCTTTCTCATACTTTACATGTTGGTCTCCCAGTCGGGATCTGGCATGATGTTGTATATGCACATGCAATTCAGTAGAATTTAAGCTGCTTTTTTTTTGCTTCTTCTCTTTATTATTTTATTTTTTCCCATAGTTTCCTGTTATCTTTTTTATTGGCCTAAGTTCAATATTGAGCTGTTATTTATCCATCAAATTCACTCCAATGTCATTTCCGTATTTTCTGGATGTAGCTTTCTTATTGTAAGAGATCCTGTTAAAGTCTACTTACTATGGTTTACAATATATTTTTGTGGTACGTGATCATGGCAGAGCCGGATATTAAAGCATGCTGGTGATCCAGTAGCAGCTGCTGCCTTGGCTGATGAAGCTAGATGTATGGATCTTGCTGATCGCTATGTGAACAGTGATTGTGTTAAACGAATGCTGCAAGCCGATCAGGTTTGATGTTGACATTCACTGTTTTGTCCCTTTTCCAGTAATCTTAGCGTTTTACTGATATCAGTCTTATTCATGTTAATTTTTATTCCCTTTTATTATTTGTTTATGGTTTGATGATTTTACTTTAGGTTACATTAGCAGAAAAGACAGCGGTTTTGTTCACAAAAGACGGAGAGCAACATAATAACCTTCATGATATGCAGTGTATGTGGTGCGTAATATACTCAAGCTGCTGAACACAAAGTCTTTAATCCTAGGCTTGTTATACTGAATCGAAGTTTACTCTTAATGGTTTCCAAGGTATGAACTAGCATCTGGCGAAAGCTTTCTGCGCCAAGGGGACCTAGGACGAGCTTTGAAGAAATTCTTGGCTGTCGAAAAGCATTATGCAGATATTACTGAAGACCAATTTGATTTCCATTCCTATTGCTTGAGAAAAATGACTCTTCGGACTTATGTTAAAATGCTGAGATTTCAGGATAGCCTTCATTCACATTCTTATTTCCGCAAAGCTGCTACTGGGGCCATAAGGTATTGCTCGCTATTTTGTTGTGAATGATAATCATAGCAGTTAGGGATCATTTATGATGCCATCAGGATAATTAACTGTAGTTATTATAACTTGTTGATATTGTTATGTGAGATGTGATGAATTGCCTGCAAGGCTTTAGGAATATGTTAATTTCATTTATTTCTCTCTGACTGTTATGGTATTGTTAAATACCCAGATGCTACTTGAAGTTGTATGATTCTCCATCGAAGTCTTCTGCAGAGGAAGATGAAGAGATGTCCAAGTTGGCTCCTTCTCAGAAAAAGAAATTGAGGCAAAAGCAGAGGAAAGCTGAAGCGCGAGCTAAGAAAGTAAAAAATTTTGCGGCATAAGTTCTTTTGTCAGAAATATTTTAAATACTTTTAAACTGAATGGTTCCATTGTGCAGGAAGCAGAAGTGAAGGAAGAATCAAATACTGCTGCTGTTTCAAGATCTGGAAAACGTCAAGCAAAACCGGTTGATTTGGATCCAAATGGAGAGAAACTATTGCAGGTATGTTGGTGCAGTGGCATTGGTGTAATTTGTTTATATTTACACTTATTATATTGTTTTGTGAAGATTTTATACTTCTCCCATTATTTATTAATACTTCTTTAGTTTCTTAAGTTCATATTTGATATTCATATTTGGTATATAATCTTACTCGTGAAAATGTTAACAAATAAAGATGTTTTATAACTGCATCTAATTCTTTACCATGTGCTCGTAGGTTGAAGACCCTTTGATGGAGGCTACAAAGTACTTGAAGCTGCTTCAGAAGCATTCTTCCAATTCTTTGGAGACACACTTGCTTTCATTTGAAGTCAATATGAGAAAACAGAAAATCTTGCTTGCACTGCAGGTAAAATTTTTTCCCCAACTAAATTTGTTTCTTCTGTTTCTTTCTGGCATATTATGATTGTCGGCCATGAGTATGTAATTTCATCATTTCAATGTAGTGAATCAGTGATGGTAGTTGGCTGGCTAAAGAATACTTGAAATGAAGACATGAACTAACTTCTCTGGCTATGAAATTTCTAAGAATAGATAGATGTCTAAAGTTACCAAATTTAATTTTTTTCTGTTGTTAGCTAGAAAATTTGGGGTCTCTGGTTTATAAACAATGATGAAGATAAAGATCCTAAGTCCTTTTATTGCAGGCGGTAAAGCATTTGGTCCGGTTAGATGCAGATAACCCAGACACACATCGCTGCTTGGTATGTTCATGTCTCGTTGACCATCATAATATGCATAACTGGAGGCACATTCTCATGTTACTGGGTCTGTTTATTGTTTTTTGACTTCGTCATTGTTCTATAAGGAAATATTCACCTTCTTGCAGATTAAATTCTTTGCAAAAGTGGGATCCATGCCTGCTCCAGTAACCGATGCTGAAAAACTCATCTGGGGTGTCTTAGAAGCTGAGCGACCTACATTTAGGTACAGTTTTGTTTTCATGTTCTTGTTGGTTGACATGGAAATTAAATTCCTCCTGTAATTGGTGCCTGATTGTACAAAATATATCTTGTGCTTAATTTTCATATTTTGCTTTGTAGCCAGTTGCAAGGGAAGTCTCTCGTTGAGGCAAACTCTGTTTTCCTAGAGAAGCATAGAGGTTATAATCTTGCTGGCTCTTTGTATCTATTGATTTTTACATCCCTGTTCGTATATTATATATATTTTGTCTTCTGGACAGATTCATTGAGGCACAGAGCTGCAGCAGCAGAATTGATATTTGTTATGGAACCCAACAAGAAAAACGAAGCTGTCTGCTTGATAGAAGAATCTTCTATCAACTTGGTCCCGACGTATGTTATATTGTTATTTGATAAATATTTGCCGGTTCTGTAGTTCCCAACACATTTTCCTGTGGCATTGAAT